TCAAGGATGAGCTGCCGCCTGCATTGATTTGGGTTCGATGTGATCAGTGTGCCTTTGATTTGCGAGATGATCGTGGAGACCTACTTCAAAAAGCAACGAGATTCGTGAGGTCAGCAGTGGCGCTGGCATATGCACTTGAAACTCGGTGTTCACGAGATCACGGACATGGTCAAATTCAAGAGCTTGGTGGCAAGTCACGTGAATTTTCAATATGGACAACAGACATGGCTGAGCGGATTCTCGAAGGTGTCAAGCAACAACATGACTTCGAGAAGCTACTCGGATGCGAGACTAGCCTGGGAATTCCAGACACCGTTGACGCATACCCCGCCTCAAGTTTCACATCAAACTCAAGAATCATCATGGGCGCGAGTGCGGATACCCACACCGTTTGGCATCGAGTACTGGCAGCACTCCAGGCAGCGATCAAGAAATTGCATATTCAGTGTTCCCATGCTCTACGCGGTGAAGAGCTTGCCCGACGCATTCGGACAGGTGGAGGATCACCAGCAGCGATCTCAACGGCCAAGCTTTTCAAGTGTGAGCTATGTGATTCCCAACAGCGACCGCCAATACATCCTATTGCAAGCTTACCGAAGTGGATACGATTTAATCAGTGTTTGGGCATGGATGTTGCGTATGTGCCAGACTTTGGTGGGAATGTGCACGCTTTCCTGGTTATGCTTGACCTTGCTACCGACTTCACAGCACTTCAGTGGATGATCAACGGTGGAGATCGGCAGCCAAGTCCAACGTCAGCACATGCGAAGATCGCTTTCACGGAGGGCTGGCAACGCAATCTGCTTACCTCGGAGAGGATGGAGATTGACCAGGATGCAGCTTTTCGCCTAGAGTTTCAGACTATGCGCCAGGATCTTGGAGTGCCATGTATTCCAATTGCTCCTGAAGAGTATCACCAACATGGGAAAGTTGAACGCAATATCTGTTTCTTCAAGGAGATGGCCACTAAGGTTTTTCGCGAGCTGGAGGTCAGAGATGACGAGAGTGCTCGAATTGCCGGATACCAAATTGCTCAGACTACGAACCGACTCGCCAACAGCAAAGGATTCAGCCAAGCGCAATGGGTACTTGGCGAGAACCCCTCACTACCGGCATCTCTTGGAGATATCAACGCCGATCCCGTGGTTGCTGGACAAGTTACTCAAGGATCGCTCTTGTGGCGCCGATTGCGACTACAGGAAGCTTGCGAGATTGCCTTCCATCAGTCAGCTAAAAGTTTGGCCCTGCGACGAGCTGTACTCTCAAAGACACGACCTCAGCCTGGACCTTTCGAGCGAGGTGAGTGGGTTCACTACTGGCGCATAGGTGGAGGCAAACACGACCTACATCGGAAGTGGCAAGGGCCAGCTCGAGTGATTGGCAAGGATCAATTTGGATATTGGTTGATTCAATGGTATCCCGATTTTGGCTGGACCGAATAGCTTGAGGAGGTCGACGATCCATGATATTGAGGATTGTACTCCTGGAGATCAACGTGAGTGGCAAGGAATTCCTCATGGTCAGCGCGGTTTCGTTGATCTTCGGAACACGACGTTTGGACCGTTACGAGAGCCTTTGCAGCCAGGACTACAACCACAGCCTCCACAGGGAACTCAGTTTCAACCACCAGCAGACCCTGACCAACCTGAATAGGACCCTCCGAGCATGGAGGAAACACCATATCAAGAACCTGATGATGCAGATGACCAACCGCCTACACAACGACGTCGTGTGCAGGGTGAGTGGCCAGAAGGATCATGGATTATACCAAGCACATGGGATATGATCATTGGAGCACAGCCCCGTGGTCCATATGACGCAGTTCTAGCGACAAATATTACACGATGTATCATGGCATTCTTACCAGAAGAAGATGCTATTCCTCGAGGCAGACTTCTCGGGCGACGTATGTTTAACTGCGACACGAATGTCCTACGTGAAGATGTTTCTCGTAACAGTCTAGAAATACCTTTGAGGTTCCTCTGGTACGTGATATGGATATGGAGGATGTTGTGGCGGAGTATACGTATCGCACTAACAATGTTCCTTCAACTGGCCAGGGGCGGAATCCAGATTTTGTTCGACAAGACCGTTTCCCCGAAGGTACTGAACCTCAAAAACCACCTCAATCGTTTAGATTGGACAATCCGGCACCACCTCCAACATCAACGACAAGACCCAGCGCGCCGTCTGGCTCGAATGACGACGGACCTCAGCCTCGTGCAGTACCGGAAGAGCAAGACGCACGAACACGACAACGAACTCGCCAACAAGCGAATCGTGACCAAGAGGAAGCAGGTCGTGCTGAACGATCGAGACTTACAAGGAAGACGCCAACCAACATCCCAGACTGTGTATGGAGGGCGACCACACATTGGTCGCAACATCACGGTCGCCGAGAACAACAAGAAATTGCCCACCGCCTATGCCGCCAACACGGTCATGTGCGAAGCTTTCGCGGCTGAACGAGCTGACCGAGTATCGAAGGGCAAGCTGGACATAGAGGAGATACTAAATCGTGGTGACTACCCGAGAACGTGCGGAGAAGTGTCTCAACGCACTCATCAAAGTGTGGAGTACTTGGGCCAAGTATGACGCTGTGACAGTGATTTCACCGACAATGGCCAAGAAGGTCGATGAGCCGCAGCACCGCCGCAGATCGAGAGCCGAGCTGTATGGACGAACAAAGGCCGTGATCACGACGCTAACTTCCGACTGCCACCTTCAAGCTGATGAATCAAGGGAAATTGGTTGGACTATTATGTCTACGCGTTGATGACATGCTCATGGCTTTCGACATGGAGAACAACAAGAAGTTCTGTGATCACGTGATCCAGCAGTTGAGGAGCCAGGTGGAGTTTGGAGACTGGCATGATCTACAGAACGCACCAGAAGGAGCTACGTTTACTGGACGACGATTCTAGCAGGACAAGGACTATGCTATCACTATCGACATGGACAACCGGATGCCCCGCGAAAGGGCTAAGCAGGAGAAGGAACTACTCACCGCGGCTGAACACCGAGCGATCCGTGGCATGAATGGACAAGTTCAGTGGGTGGTACGACTGCTGCTTCATACGCACAGTTTCGAAGCATCGCGGCTTGCTGGCCAAATGTCTAAGCCGACGGTACAGGACATGAAGGATATGAATAGTTTGGTGAGATCTATCCACCGTGAGGGGAAGACTCAGACGGTTTTCCGTGGAGGATTTGATTTGAAAAAGTCTGTAATCATAGCTTCACACGACGCATCCTTCGACAACATGCCAAACCCTAAGAGCCAACGTGGTCTTTATATCAAAATGGGAGATGGCAACATGATGGATGACCACACGAAATTGTACCCGTGTATGCTCTTGGCATGGTCGAGCGGACGCATTGGACGTGCAGTACGGAATACTCTTTCAGCCGAGGCTTACAGCTGTTCTGAAGCTCAAGATGTGTGCTTTTGGACACGTGCAGTGTGCGCAGATATCTTTTCAGCTAGTAGGCTTGGACATGAGTATCGTCAAGCAGCTGAGGAATGGAAATGAATTTTGGTTACATATTGCCGTTCATTGTGGGATTGTGTTGTGAAAGAGCGAGTCCACTTATCAGATCGTAGACTTTCTCTGGACGCAGCCATCATCAGGCAGGAATGCCAGCATGGAGGTATCAAATGGGTTCGATCTGAACAGCAACTTGCCGACGGACTTACCAAGAAGATGGACATACCCTACCAAGACCGAATCTTCTATGAGAGCCTCTGGGCGTTCGGACCGGATCCCCGGGCACCTTCACTCAGGAAACGGAAGTTGACATATTCCTGGGAGGAAACGCAGCGAGCACAGCGAGCGGAACTACAAGAAGTCGCCGACGAGATGAATGCGTGCTACGCCAAACCGAAGGACTACAGCGCTGACGACGAGATTGCGAGGATTGATGTATATGATGAGTTTACGTACCATTCTGAATTGGCACATCTGTGACACGCTCATCGCGTGCCATGGTTTTTGCCGGAGTTTTAGCAAGCAATTTTTCGTCTGGATCTTCCGTCCCCGCTCTTGTAGCAACAACTGCGGTGACAGCCGCATCGGAGCAAACAATTTGCCAAATTCCGACGTCTTTGGCTCAACCCTTTGACGATTGGTCGAGGTTTGTGCTTTCACCAGCCGGGACGTTTATGACAGGTTTTCTGATCGGACTTCTTTTGATGATTGTTTTGTGTCTTTGTATGTGGCAGTATTTGCAAAAGACAGTTAATCCTACATCAGATTTAGAGGCGAAAGCTGACAGTGCTTTGCAGACTGCGATTGCTCCATCCCCGCTTATACCACACGTGACAGTACAGACGATCGACAGACACCGTCCGATGATAGAGGACGGCCGATCGGATGCACGTCGGAGGCTCGAGAGTATGCGGGTATGTGATTTGCAGGCTATGCTCCGCGAGATGCGTTTACAAGTTTCAGGAATCAAGGCAGATTCGGTCACGAAGATCCTCTCTCACTGCGAGGCGAAACCTAGTGAGTTTCGTTTCTGAGTTGGTGTGTTTGTGAATTTCTTTGTGACCGGTTGCGTTTGGCCCGTTCCGAATGGATTGTGACGGAGACGGCAGTGCCTTTTTTTGTAACGTGCTGATCTCCAGTTTCTCAGCTGGAAATTTTATACCCTATGTGAAGATAGGTGTATTTTGCCCATATCTGTGCAGCTAGAGACGCAGTAGATAAGCAGTTGGAGAGAAGAGACAGCATGATAGATGTTGTGGCCACTTCTCTCAATGACTTCAGGGGGTCCCCTTTTGAGCTATAAGCGATAACACGTTAGCAGATGTTTGTCCTTGCGGCGATTCCCTGATTTCATCAGCTGAGTGTGCGAGGTCTTCGACCTCATCTATATTGCTCGATTCCGCGGAGCTTACGTGCGGAAGGAGAATACGACTGGTCAATCTCCATATCACTGACACTTGAGAGGGGGGACAGGAGAGGAATGCGAACACGCTGCGCGCTCTCCCCCGGCTCCACGCGCTTGACGGCTGCCTGGAGCTCTCTCTGCTGCTCCTTGTGCAGCCGCATCATGCTCCTGCAGTGGGGGTGCCAACTGCACTCCACGCCGATCTTGGCCAGGCCCATCCTGGGCCCATGATCAATGCGTACGCCCACCTGGCAATGCCAGGAAGACATGGACACTGATCCTTGGCCCAGGATGGGGCTGGCCAGGATTCAAAACAAAAGCACGGGGGGATGATTCCCAATGTATTTTGCTGCCGCTGGGGATGTTTTGGACAGGCCGATCAAATAATCTCGATGACGACGACGCCCACTAGAAGGCCCGGACCTCAATGTATCAACCATCGCCCAGGACGTCCGCCCCAGGGTTTCTCAATCGTCAACCTGCGCTATATGTGTGGCGTGATGGGGGGAACGATTGGGGGGGGGACCTCCTTTCGGGGGAACACGGAGCTTGAATCGGCGATACATCGCCGATATATCGGCCACACAGACGGCCTCGCCGCGTTCTCCTCCCGAGATGGCACGTGGCGGCGCGCACAATGGGGCAGAGGAGGAGGAGGAGGGGGAGGAGGAGGGGGAGGAGGGGGAGGAGGAAGAGGAGGAGGAGGAGGAGGAGGACCCACATCGGCGACCGACGGGCGAATGATGGGGTCCGCGCTCTCCCGACGGCGCCCACTTCCCCCGAGGATCAGGCCTGTGGGCGTCTGCCTGCTGTTCCCGCATGTCCCTCACCAGCACGGTCAGCCTCGCGTCCAGGTCGGGCGAGTCCCCCGCCAGGCGGATCTTGGACGACAAATAAAACATACCCCCCAAAATATCTAAAAATACAGAAAAATCAAAACATCGTCCCCAGACAATTTTTTGGCTGTTTTGGAATATTCCTCCTGCAGAGGGACGCGTCCGACTCACGGCCTCGCGAGCTCGGCGCGCCACCCCTGCTCGCCAGCGGCGCACGCGTCCTCGGAGGCCTTGTCACTGCGCATCGACTTCACCGACCTCCGGCGCTCCACCTGGGAGCAACGAGGATCGGCACCACCACCGTCGGGCGCTGCTCCGCTCGGCGGTGGACAAACCTCGCTTTGGTGAACCTCCCGTTCGTGAAAACGGCCTAGGACCGAAAGCGACGGACCTGGACCCGCAGAAACAACGGCAGCGACGCCCTCTCGCGAACCGAAAACAGCCAATTCACTAATCGACGTGTCAGGGTAGGAGGTCTGTCCACCCCCGATCCGCAGGGGGGAAGCAACGATCCAGGGGGGGAAGGGGGGAGGGAGGGAAGACCGTTGCATCTCTCGGGCACCTGCGCTGATGCGGTGGACCCCCTCGGGGCCCTCTCCTGCAACCCCAGACTCCCGACGTCATGATTTTCTCAGGGCGTCGACCCCCCACAGGTGTCGACCCACTCCCTGGGTTCCATTTTTTCATCCTGCGTCGTTTTTTGACGGTCACGGGGCCTGGCGAGGGAACCCTGAGGTTATGCTGCTCCCATCATGCATGCTTCAGGACCACATCCCAGAAATAATTTCGAGCACCCAGAAAATATCGAAACAGTGTCTGCCCAACACGCTGGCGAAGCGTCGAACGAGTACCGCCTCCCAGGGCCTGACAATGACCCCCTCGAGTTTCGGTACTTTCACAGTGCTCGAACTTCTTTCCGGTGGTCAAAGCTAGAAGCAAGTCGGAACATCAAAACCCGAAGGCAGAACAAATACAGCCGAACACCTCCCGTCGTGCGACTTTGTCGCGGCTCGGAAGGGGACGGGGATCCTCGCCCCCTCCCTGATGTGTCGCTCCCCCGCGCGAGGGTGCCCGACACCACTGCTGCACCACCGCGAGGAGCCAGGGTGGGCGGGGGGGGGGTCGCGTCCCAGTGGCCTGCGCTCCCTCCGTCCTCCTGCGCCCCGCTGGAAACCTCTCTGATCTCCAGCCGCCGCGAGGAGGGCTCGGGGGGCCCGCTCGCCATCGCTCGGACGTCCACTCCCTGTGTTTTTTTTTTAGATTTCGTGTTTTTTTGTTGTTGTTGTTGTTGTTGTTGTTGTTGTTGTTGTTGTTGTTGTTGTTGTTGTTGTTGTTGTTGTTGTTGTTGTTGTTGTTGTTGTATTTTTTTCCCCTCCCCAAATGCTCAAGGATGCTTCTCGATGGTCCTCGCCGAAGGACGGCATGCACACGCCCGAGCGATGCCAAGGGGGGGGTGGGGGCGTCCTCGTGGCCTGCGCTCCCTCGGTCCTGCGGCGCCCCGCCCGAACACCCCCTCGCGTTCGCCAGCTCGGGGAGGCCTCCCCAGAGGCCCGAGGCTCCCCAGCAGTGCTACTTTCTGCCCCTGGAGCCCCTCGAGCAGGCCCGAGGAGCGTCGGCAGAAACGACTCGAGAGGAGGAGCTGGCCCCGAGATTGTTCTTGTGGTGGTTGTGGCTGTGGTCGTGGTTGTGGTTGTGGTTGTGGTTGTGGTTGTTGTTGTTGTTGTTGTTGTTGTTGTTGTGGTCGTGGTTGTTGAGTTCTCATTTCAGAAAA